CTCAAGTACAAGATTATGTACAATTTCTTAGGCTTTTGTCTTACACACTCCATTAATTCCTGACCTTACTCAGGTCAGCATCTTTTCCTGTTACTCATTTCAGAGATGATTGTATGTACTCTTTGTGTGTGTGTGTGTGTGTGTGTGTGTGTTTGAGGCCACTCAGGTTGCATTCAGGGCAGGTCTGGTTTGGCTTGAGGATGAGGGGATCAAACCACAGCATCCTGAGCCTGACTGCTTTGTTTCAGCAGGCACTTAAACACCTGAGCTAATGAGCAGGCCCCCTGTACATACTGTTTATGAAATATGGATAATATGTAATACTGTATGACTTTGAAGACAAGTCATGAAAGGCTATGTGAGTCTTCTCAGCTTTCTGGAGATCTTGCTTCCCTTGCTTTTTTTTCTTTTTTGTCTCTTTGCCCTTAAAGCAAGCTTGTATGTGATTCTAGGCCTCAGACTTGGAACAGTGACAAGCCGCTGTATCTGGTGCACCCTCATAAATTTGATTTATGGCCTATTATGTCCAGGTGTGGACAGCTCTCAATGGCGTGTTGTGCCATGCCACTGCTCTGCTGAAAACTCAGCTCCCAGTAATTCTAAAACTAGTGCCAGTAAATGACAACAATAACAAAAAAGGTAATGTTTAGTGTAATAAAAGACTATTTAGGAATAAAACATGGAAAAAAAGAGGATAGGTAGCTCCTGTGAGGTGGTGGGAGCTTGAGAGTGGAAAGTACCCAAGCTCTTCTTTTTGGCTTCGTTTATTGGGGACTAATGTCTCTTCATCCCCCAGGTGGGCGCTTGTCAGTATCTGAGCTGTTGTTGCCTTGACTGTCTTTGATCCTAGCCAAGCTAGGCCTTCTGGTCTAGTTTAGTCTATCTTTTCCCTACCTACAGTTCCACCTTTCCCTACACACTGATACCAAGAATATAGCAAATGGTGGTTATTGCAATCGAGTAATGGAGTTACTATATAGATGTAACATTGTTATAACAGGTATGGGTACTAGAAAAACTGCTTCACAAGTCACACTGTTGTTTAGTCTTTTTAATATTTTTAAGAATCTGTCACACTGTTTTCATTGTACCATTTTATATTTCAGCATTGCACAGAAATATTTGTCATTAGCAGTTACTTTCTGTTTCTTATTGTTTAAAGTAATACTTTAATGAGCATGAAGTTGTATCTTATTGTGGTTTTGATTTGCTCTATATCAGTCATCAGGGCATTTTAAGTTAACACATTTAAAAATCATATACCAAAAAAATGCCTAAAATCTAGAACACCTAGTTCATTCTTTTAATTTATTTCTTTGAGTCTTTATTTTCAATTTAAGAGAATTTATAATTGATTGTTAAGTAATTTTATTAAATAATTGCACCATGTGACTCATTCCATCCATTTACATCCTAATTTCCTGTTTAGATTTTTTTTCTTGTTGTCTGATGGGGCAAATCATCTTGATAGTGTTTTGGTCGTTTTGGTTATTATGCTAGGAAAATTTTTTTTTGATGTATTTAGTACAGAGTCTATAGGGTTTCACTACAAAGATTGGACTTATAGTGATCCTCCTGTTTTCAGCCTTCCAAACACTGGGATTACAGGCAGGCACACCACCACAACTCGGTTCAGTGGGCCCCGGGGGCGGGGCTGGCATGGCAGGGTGGGGATCAAACCCCTGGCTCCTGCATCTGATAAATAAAATCTTGTTTTTGTTTTTGTTTTCAATTTTTATTCATCCTGGTTTATTCTGTAACTAGAGAACTAAATCCTTCTATAGAAATTGAAGAGTGGGCTAATCCTCCTCCTCATCATCCCCAGCTCCAGCCCAACACTGGCCCTTCTTTGCATTCTTCCTCTTCACACGACCCAGGTGGCCTTCCATATGATGAGTGCAGGGAGAAGTCCATGTGCTTCTGGGAGTCCAGGCACACAGTGAAGGATGGGATGTTCACTGCCTGCTTGTGGACCCTGACGTGGCACTGGCGGATGAGACACGGGCATTGTGGATGGACTTGGCAAGCCTAGCTTGAAGACCTGAGTCTGCAGGCACCTCTCCAGAAAGTCCTCAATTTTTAGGCCCAGGATGTAACCCAGCTTCATCTTGCCCTCATCCAGCACCCCCATGTGGACGAGTTGCCATAGGAGAGCCTTGCCTTCGAAGAGATGCTGTGGGTCCTTTTTGTCCAGCGTTAGCAGCTCCCTGGCAGCACTGCTGATCTTTGCCAGGGTGAATTAGACCCTCCAGACCTCACGCTTGTTCTGGAGCCCATACTCGCCGACTATCAGCTTCAATTCTTGGTCAAGGCAGGACTTCTCGAAGGGCCTCTGTGGGGTTACATAGGTCTTACAACAAACCCAGCTCTTCACCACTGGCGTGTTGGCTCCGTGTGCCTGTGAGCTGATCTTAACAACTGAGAGAAAGGTTTTTTTTTTTTTAAAGATTCTTGATGGTAGTTAAATGTTTTGTTGTGATGTATGGGCTCTTCCTTAACTTTATGGAGTTTGTTTCTAGCAGTGATATTCTGGTCTGCTTCTCTCTTTAGTGTTGATTAGATTATAGTTTAGTTCCTGTGTTGTCTTGAGGGGGTATAAGGTGCTTTCTTGAGGCTTCTCATATCCTTGTTCACTCATCTTTGGTTCCAGGTAGAAACTACTTCGCCTGGATCTTACGTGCCTGTGGGGCATAAGGACACTCTCAGATCTCTTAAGTTTGTGTTGCCTCAATTTAGTCTCTATTAGTATGCTGGTTATAAAATAGGGAATGATATGGTCTATGTCAGTGACAGTGAACTTTGTATTTTAAAGACCAAATACCAAACTATAACCTAAAACCCACTTATTTATCATAAAGTGCCAATACTGCAATTAAACCTGAATACTGAGGTTGCTTTATTTTTTTATTTTTTTTTTAAATGTGTTTTTGTTGTTACAGGGTCTCACTATGCAACTCGGACTCATAGCGTTCCTCCTGTTTTCAGCCTCCCCAGCTCTGGGATTATAGCTGTACAATACCACACCTGGAGTTTATGACCTGCTCAGCCCACCCTGGGAGTGGGGCTAGCACAGCATGTGGTGCTGGGGAACGAACCACAGTCCCTCTGCACTTCCCTAAGCAGGCACTTTAGTCCACTGAGCTATCTCACCAGACTCACTGAAGTTTTTTTGTTTTTTGTTATTTTTTGTTTTTTGTATTTAGGACAGGGTATGCAGGGTGTAGAAGATCTCACTATGTAGATGACACTCAGTAGTGATCCTCCTGTTTACAGCCTCCCAAGTGCTGAGATTACAGGTGCATGCCACAACACCCAGTCTCTATTGCTGGCTCAGCGCACCCTGGGGGCAGGACCTGCAGGGCAGGCCTGGGGATCAAATTCTGGGCCCCTGTGAATCTGCTGAGCTGTTTGGCCCTGCTTTGAAGTTGTTTAAAAAGTAAATGTTGTTAACATCTTTTATTTTAAAAGAAAAACAGTAACTTACCATCACTATCTGGAGGGATGGTGTCATTAGCACTACTGGGTCAAAACAACACTTGAGTGTGAAGCAGGGGCTAGGAAAGATACCAGTTTAATGCCCCCAAGCTGCCTGTTGTCACTCCTGCCATATGTGGTTGCTCTATCAGGAACAGGGCCTTCTTCTTTTGTTTTCTCCCCTTTTGCCTAATTGTTTGGTGGGGATTCAAGGCTCATCTGTTGCCCATTCTAGGAAAATGTAGGAGATGAACAAGAAACTTAACCAAAGAATCACATTATAGTTCCTTAATACTGAAGTTTCTAGCTAGTCCTTTTCTTCCTTCTACCTTCAGGATCCTAGTATTATGGGTTTTGTTTTGTTTTGTTTTGTTTTGTTTTTTTGGGTAGTGGTGGTCATTTAGACAGAGTCAAGCTATGTAGTTAAAACTGGTCTTAAGTTTACTATATAGCCCAGGCCTTGATCCAGTGCTGAAGAATTTCAGGTGTAAGTGCTACACATTGGCCCTGGGATGCACAGTCTACATTACAATATCAGGAGGGAAGAGAGGCTAGCTAGCTTCTTGAGCTGCTGCCTCTTCCTTTGCTCTGCTCTTTGCCTCCATTTTGAACGGCTGCACTGTGCCTTGTGCCACTCTGCCTTGGAGCCAGCTGAGTATGGACTGAAACCTCCACTATGAGCTAAATGAACCTTAATTCTGGGTATTGGGTATTTTGTCCCAGCAATGAGAGGAGAGTAACTGAGACACTAAATCTCCTACTGCTGAGATTACAAAGTGTTTACCACCATGATGCCTGAGTTGTTGATCAATGGATAATTTGTAAGGAATTTAGTTGTACTTAAAGGAAGAAGCTCTGAAATCCCATTTAATTCCAGAATCAAAAACCTTTTTTGGTAACATTTTGGTGTAGGTTTTTTTTTTTTTAAATCTTATATCTATTTATTTATTTGGTACAGGGTCTCTGTGCAGCTCAGACTCATAGTGATCCTCCTATTGTAACCTCCTCAGTGCTGGGGTTACAGGTGTGCATCACCGTGCCTGGTTTCACATAGTACTTTAGATTTCTAATTTATACTCTTTTAAGAGTGTAGACCACTATGACTGCTACTTACTCTTTTTCTTTGATATTTAAAGGTTGAGGGTTAAGAGGAAAAAAAGTAACTTTTGTCATGTTTATATATGCTTTGATAAATAGATATATGTATACACATTAGTATGTATCTCACGTAATGTAAATATGTGTTTGTTTGGCTGCTTAGTTCACCAACTTTTAGTCTAAACATAGAGGAGTCATGATTTTTCTAGCATACTTCGTTGTGTTAGCTATGTATAGATTTAGTTTACGCCTCAAGACTTTTATCAATAAACTGGATTTTTATGTGTGAAGATTTGACTTTTCAAAACTTTTAAAATATATACTTTAATCATAGATTTTAGACTTAGCAGTAAGTCTTTGAATGTAAAAGCTCCTTTGATTCTAACATCTTTTAAACTAATAAGTATTTTCGTGAAATTTTCTTTTAGTTCATGCCTGTGGAATTCATCAGAAAGTTCTGGCAGCTGATGTTTGTTCTAAAAGTACACCAGACTTGAAAAAAAAGTCAGATAAAAAACTAAATGGTCTTTGTGCTGAAGCTGATGAAGAATTTTACATATCAGTTGGCTCACCCACTGTTCTTCTGCATGAAAAGCCATCGGAATCGCAAAATGCTATTTCATCTGCTCAAAAGAGAGAAACTGACACTTTTGGAAATTCAGTAAATATGTTATCTTCAAATACAGAGATTTCTCTTAAAACCAAAAAAAGGTAACTTTTCATTTGAATAATAGTGTTACTTTAAACATTTCAACTTTCATATTAAAACTTTAATAGATTAACATTTTGGTGTAGGTTATTATTTTGTTAATCTTTTATGTATTTATTCATTTGGTACGGGATCTCACTACGCAGCTTAGACTCGTAGTGATCCTCCTCAGTCTCTAGAGTGCTGGAATTACAGGTGTGTGCACCACGCCTGGCTTCAGTGGCTGGCGTGGCGCACCTGGGCCTTGGGATGGCATGGCACGGCATGCGGTACAGGGGATTGAACCAGGTCCTTGCGCTTGCCAGGCAGGCGCTTAGACAAGCAAGCTATTTCCCCAGCCCCTTGTAGTTTTTTTAGTAAGGACTAAGGAATATTAACATATTATGAGAGAAACAATATGCTTTTTGTATATCCATTTGTACCTAATAAGGAAGGACTTAAAATGTGCTTTAAAGTAACTGGGGGATAATTTTTCTATACTCCGTGGAAAAATATGCTTTGTTTATGTTTTCTAGTTTTCTGTAAGTTCCTAAAGGAAAAAAAAAAAGTTTCACATTTATAACTGCAGAGATTATGTCACTTCTAGGGAAGCAAAGCCTATGCACTGCTGAGAATGAGTTATGCTAAATACTATACCATTTCTTGGAGATTTCCCTTTCACCTTCAGGAAGCAAAATAGATCGTTCAAGATCTTTTGTTAATAACAACCTGTAAATAGTAAAATTTCTGTCTAGAGTATTATTTTATTCCTGGAGCCAACAGGTTAAGTATATACTGAGACTCTGAAAGTGTAGTCTGCTGCAGAGCTCTGAGAAATAGTGCTTTAAGCTACACATTTTCTTGGTTTATAATTTAACTGTTCTAATGCCCAGTGAAAATCTTATTATGTGGTCTGTATTGTCACTGTAAAGAAATTTAGGAAGACTGAGAAACATAGCATTTTACTTGCCTTTCTTTTAACTAAACTATTAGGTTAAATTTTGAAGATGAAGATATTTTGAGAAATGTAAAGAAAGGCACTAACAAATCAGAGATAGAGGATAAAATATCAGGACAAGAAGAAAGGAGACTATCAGAAACATCTCCAAAAAGGGTACAAGATACAGGATATGAAATTCAATCACAAACGAAAAAAAGTTTTTCAACATTGTTTATAGAAACTATAATGAGAAAAAGTGAATCCAGGTAAGTGCTTTGACGTTGTTTTATTTTTCGTTCTATGATATATATTTGAGAATTTCAATATTAGTTAATTTAGAAATAAAAAATTTGACATAGATATCAATTGAAATTTTTTT